CTCCAGCCCACAAACGGACCCACGGACTCACTGACGCTCTGACGGATTGGCTGCTTGGCTCTGCCCCAGCTCTGCCCCAGCTCTGCCTCCGACTCGTAGTCATATCCTTTTGCTTCAAACCACTTGACATTTTCACAGTCTCGCATCCATGTCAATTTTGCGGTTTCGGTTTCACACAACTATGTACATATCGTATGTGCAGCCGAGCTCCAGCACCAGCACCAGCTCCAGCTCCAGCACCAGCTCCAGCTCCAGCTCCATTCTCCAGATGAATGTGGAATTTTTGGCTTGGATTTTCGTGTGAATACACTGAGAGAACGTACATATAAATATGTATCTACGATAAAATGAAAGATCTACGCTAAATCTATTTATAAAGATATATTTTGCCTATTTACCCATTGCTCATTTTTTGTAAGTACAATTTTTGTTGTCTTGCTATTTTTAGGCAATCAATTTTGCTCTTTTTTTTGGCAAATATAAAAAATAATTAACCAACACGATTATGTTTTTTACAATAATATAATAAAGTTCCTTCCAATTTATTATTATATTTTATTTTTAATAAATTTACTCTTTGCATTATAAATGTACTATCTGTAACATGTTGTTTTATATGAATTATTGGGGTAACAATCATTATATGGGTGTTAAATTGTTGTTCATTGGCATATATTTGACATTAACTTTATTGGAATGGAAAAGTGGCTTGAGCAAATGAAGGCAGGATGTGCGGAATGTGCGCATACCTTCCCTATTAAATATTTTCAGTTAAGATCTAATTAATGTGGCTATATTTTAAGAACTCATATATGTAATTATTTTCTGCAGGTTTGATGCTCAGAAAATCTTTTTTCGGCTATTTGGGTTTGAATATTTTTAATATATTATTATATTATATTCTTCCTGCATCTCTTCTTGCCACAATAGCCTATTTTGCCGAGTGTACGCGTACCTCTGGGGCGAACCTTTCAGAGGGAGTTGGGCAGCCAGGCCCAAGTCCAGAGCCAGAGCCCAGATCCAGAGCCCAGATCCAGACCCCGAGCGGTGGGAGTGACAAAAGGGAAGCGCGCGGTGTTAATGTTAATATCGTAGCTTGTTTTTTTTTATTGGAATGTACATACACTCCTACTCGTACTCGTCTGTGCATAGAGATGTGTACACTGTACATACCATACATAAGACTCGTCTCATGAGTATTTGTGTGTCTGAGTAGATACTCGGTACGTGCGAGTGCGAGTGCCAGTAAGTGTGAGTGTTCGTGTGAGTATATCTGTGTAATCTGTCCATAAGTGGCCTCAAATGCCTATCCATAATGATGATGATGATGATGTGGTTGCCTCTTGCCATTGCCATTGCCGCTGCCGCTGCTGCTGCTGCTGCGACCAATAGTCGGGCATTCATCATGATGCCGGAGAGCCGAAAACACAAACAATTTATGCCGCATGTCACGCCTTCCCCAAGAGCCGCCGCCGCCGCCGCCGCCACACATGTGAGAGCCAGAGAGGGAGGCAAAGTGAAATTTTCGAGGGCGTTGCCCATTATAGATCTCATCAGATCACTATATTATATAGTACATACGAATCAAAGTTCAGACGTATGAGCATTCGGCCCCGACACACTCATCAATGGAAGCATCAAGAGATTTCCACAGATTTGCTGTCAAAAATGATTACAACAAAAATGTGCTGGTGAAATGGATCAGTTCGTGTATTTCACCACAATACTCTCGTAGCTGTGCTAAGCCAAAATTACTAAAATATATTTCAGTCAACTCAAAGATTTAATTCCATTAAATTCATTTTCAAACTGAGAATCCTACATAAATAGTCCCTATATCCCGACTACCCTTACTGGTATATTTTAAAGCCAATTGCTTTTTTGATGTGTTTGAAATTTAATCTTTTCCACACTGTGAAACAATTCCTTTTAAACTGAAGATACCATATAAAAAATTCCCATAACTCAGCATAGTTCCAACCCAATTTAATATTTAATATCCCCGCCATATAATACTTTCTTTTGAGACTGAAAATAACTAAATGCAAAAAATGCCCATGCGTTCCCACACAAAAACTTATTTTTCTTTCGAACTTTAACATAGAAAATTCCTTAAAGAAATCTCTTCATATATCCCATTTTATGTTTAACCCAATTAAAAATCAATTTTTGTTTTGTTTACAAATTTTTGCAAATTTTGTTTCGCTGTTTATTTGTTAATGAAAACTTAAAATCATGTTGTAATACACAGAACACAATCATCAATCCTTGTTGCAGGGAGGGAGCAATATGTATTTCCCTTACGGGAGACAGAGAGAGCAATAACATTTCTTCACCTTTCACTTACAAACTAACTAGCATGCGTACATATACATATAGATAGTATTGGGGGGTGGTTGGGGGTGGTTGGGGTATTCTTTTTAACACAATAGGAGGATATGTTTCCATAGAGCTCTTTAGTAGTACATTCAGTTTATAAAATACATTATTTATTGACTATGAAAAAAATTGTTTCGCCTTAGAACTATTTAATATATGTTGTTGTTGTTGTTGTTGTTATTTTTGTTTTTTGTTTTTGTTTTAATATTTAATTAATATTTCGTTTATAAATATCAATACTTCGTTGTACACCGCTCGAGATGTGGTATTGCGAGAGAGGGAGAGAGAGGTTGGGACTCCACCTTCGATTCATTCATTCACACACGCATTCACACTCACTCATTCACACTCACTCATTCGCTTTGGCTTCGTGCTGCCTGCTGCTGCCTGCACTGAGGAACGGATTGAATACTTTATATAGTACACTTAGATGTCGCCTTATTGCTACCATTATGTCTACACAAAAAAAAAAATATAGATACCTATATATTTAGGGGACAATATAACACAAGTACGAGCAGAAAAAAAGCTAAGTTTTGGAGCAATTCCAGTTTGTAATACCCATCGAGGCAGATTCGGGAACTCTGCTGCCGTGCCGCGCCGTCGGCAGGGTAGTGGGGGCGAGGGGGGGAGACGCCGCGTTGAGCAGGACTCTGTCCGCCACGCACGCCCCTCCACCCACCCACCCCACCAATGCCCAACGCCTTCGACCGAACAACAAGACCCATAATAAAAATTAAAAAAAAAAATATATATATATTCATAATAAAAAAAAATAATAAACATTTGACTAAGGATCCCGCGGCCTTGACTCCCAAAAGCTTAGACGGAGATGGCGGCATTCGTCGGTGGCAGGTCGCCGTACGGCGCTGGCGACTGCTGCGGCGGCTGCTGCTGGTGGTGGCCACTGTGGTGATGGTGTTGGTGGTGGTGGTGGTGATGGTGGCCGCCGCTCAGCTGCTGCTGCTGCTGCGTCTTGAGCAGCATCGAGCGGTACACCTCGGACAGCAGGCTCCACATGGGCGGGGCATTGGGCGACTCGAGGGCACCCTGCGGCAGAAAGGCGTTGGGCGTTGGCTGCTGTTGGCTGGAGGCGCTTGCAGCGGCAGCCGCAGCGGCCGCAAACATTTGCGTCTGCAGCAGTCGGAAGTGATGCTGCTCCTCCAGATCCATGGCCAGCGGCATGGGCAGACTGAGCGGCAGGGACAGGGACAGGGGCTGGTGCTGGGGCTGGGGCTGGGGCGAGTGCTTCCTGGTCGGTGGCGCCGATAGATCAATGCAGGCGGATGCCGCGGCCAAGGCCTCGGAGCTGTCGCCGTCCATTTCCAGCTCCAGCTCCATCTCCATTTTGATGCTCGTCTCTGGGTGGCCGCCCGTGGAGGCGGAGGCACTGCTGTTGCTTCGCTTGCGCTTGCCCAGCAGGCGCTCCATGGAGAAGGCTCCGCCACAGGGGCTGGACGAGCGCTTGATCTGTTCCCCTGCCCTTTCCCGCTCTGGTTCCTGCTCCTGTTCTGGCTCTGGCTCCGGCTCTGTTTCGCGTCGCTTGTGTAGGCTAAAGTCCAGCGGCTCATCGGCTGAACGCTGCTCATCGGCACAGGCGACCGCTGGCGCTGGCGCTGCTGTGGCTGGTGAGGCTCAGGCTGCAGTGCATCTCCTCATCCGCATCCGCATCCGTTTCGCTGGGGCATGGGCTGGAGGCAGCCGGACTGGAGCTGTTTGCATGCATGTCCACGTACACAAAGACACCATCGTCATCGCCATCGGCATCGCCATCTCCCTCGGCATCGACATCTCCTTCACCTTCTCCCTCGCCATCCACATCCTCCTCGTAGAGACGCTCTCGCTCCTGTCCCGCGGACAGCAGTCCCAGGCTGTGCAGTCCGGAGCCATGGCCGCCGGCGAACATCATCGCCGGTCCATAGCCCACACCCGACGGATGATGATGCGACTGGTGCGCATGGTGGTGCGGCGGTGGTGGTGGCAGAAGTCCGGGAAAGGCGGCCGGCAAGCGTCCGGCGGCGGCCACAGCGACGGCAGCTGCGCCGGGAAACACGGGGAACTGCTGGGCCGTACGTCCGTCATGGGGCGAGATCTTGCGGCGGATGTGGGGCGAATGGAGCTTCGGATTGGGATTGGCGCTGTGCCGATTGCGGGATCTGCGCGAGCTGAACACCATGTTGCAGCCCTCGACGGTGCACTTGTGCATCTCCCGCAGATGCACCGCCGAGAAGTGGATCTTGAGGGCGCCCTTGTCGCAGAAGGTCTTGAAGCAGATGGAGCATTGGACGCGCTTCTTGCCCGTCGCCGGATTGATGAACTGTCCGGCCAGGTTGATGGGCGGCGAGCCCCAGCGTTTGGGCTTTGTCGAGCTGTTGCTGCTGCTGTGGCCGCCCGCACCCGAGCCGGAGGATCCACCTGGCGAGCTGGCTGGCGAATTGGTGCCGCTGGCCATTCCCGGATGGACATGCCCATGGGCATGAGCATGGGCATGGGTATGGGCATGCGAATGCGAATGTGAATGTGGGCCATGGCCGAGCAGATAAGCGGGTGACATGAACGGATTCATAATGTGCTCCATGGCTGGCTGGACGTTTGTTCGATTTGGATTTGGATTGGATTTTGTTCCTGCAAAGACAGAGAGGGGAAAAGTTTGGTATCATTAGAGCGGCTTTCGCATGGCAGGCAGTGGGCAGTGGACAGTGGACAGTGGACAGTGGGCGGCACAGGGGCGTGGGGGCAAGTGTAAGTGTCAATCAGGGAGTCGCTCAAACGGTCAATCAGTCAGCGGACAGCGCGCAATCCTAATCGCAAACTTATGTGCCACAACTGGGCTGTAGGCTGCCGCACGGCATGTCGCTGGAGTGCCGGGGTGGGGTGGGTTGGTCGTGGGGAAGTTTTGCAACTTTTTCGCTCTGCGAAATGTTATCGCCAAAAGTCAGCCCTTCAGAATGGATCCCCAATTCTCGCCTCGTGTGTGAGGCGCAATTAAATCGAGGACAGGTCAACCAGGGTTCAATAAATCTGTGCGCAAAGGGAACGAACAGCAATCCATCAATTAAATGGGCTTAAGCGGGCACTACGACAGCAATTAATGGTGAAAGAACGAGAGGAGAATCTATCGATTAAAAGTCAGTGCAGCGTTTAGCAATCGAAATGTAATCGAAAAGATATTCCCCAATAAATCTCACAAATAATGTGCAAAATGTTTGGCACATATCAAAACCAAACAACAACAAAATGTAGAGGAGAGGAGAGATCTTTTTTCTTTGGGTAGCAAACCTTAATAAAAATCTCTGAAAATCGTTTGGACATTTCATTGATCTGGTTGCCCATCCCCAAATGGCCATTTGGCCATTCGCAAAGTGAAAGCCAAAGGAGCTGAGCTGAGCTGAGCTGCTCCGCTCCTAGCGCTGGTGACAGAGCGTCGGTCGGCCGATCTTTTCATGTCAACACAACACAGTTGACCACAAAAGTACACGTACACGTACACACACACACACAGACAGGGGGCACCGGCACCCCATCATATGTTGCCTCATTTGCTTGAGCGAAATCTTTTACAGCTTTTTTGGCTGGCATTAAAATCGCCTCGGACAACGACATCGACGAACGACGGCGACGACAACATGCGGCGATCAGATTCAAAGACATAGCCAGAGAGATCCGGAGATGGAGATGGAGACAGAGAGCTTTAGCTAGCCCCCAAATGTGATCCAAGCGACTTTTTATTGTTGGCTTCGTTTGCTACCGTAATTGTGAGCAGCAGCCAGCCCAGACGTAAAAAGCAGCAGAAGCAGCAAAAATAAGCCACATAAAGGCAGAGGCTATACGAAGCTGGCCATACCCTGGGTTATGCTGGGTACATATTGCGGGTAGAGTATTTATTTCAAAACTTATCACTTTCATAGCTGATATAGAGACACTATAAATATGCGAGATGATTGGCAAAAAACGTGCAGTGGCATATAAACATTGAAATGTGTGGCCGTTACTCATCTAACTATTAATATAAATTATCAGCTGTCTGCAGCTTAGATTTCTGCACATGAATATGCGGGATAATGGTCTAGAACAAATCTTTGGAAGATCAGGCCGATATTACCCTTTCTGCGAGGGTATTCCCAAGCAAAGGCTGAAAGACTGGAGGGGACTTTGGGCTGGGGACAATTGTTAACGCGGCAGCAACATCATGCGGATGATGATGATGATGATGGTGGTCGTGTGAGAGATGTTTTGTGGCCGGGGCTATCTGGAATCAATCTTAAAAGTCGAACACATTCGCCAGCTAGCCGCTTGCCCAATGTCAGCTACTACAATTTCAGAGATACTCAAAGCCAGAGACAGAGCGGAGAAAGATACAGATACAGATACATTGGTGGGGCTGGGTGACTGTGAGACTGGGACACTCAGTGCAGAGAGGGGCGTTCAGTTTTTTTTTTTGTATTTTTTTTTCTTTTTTTTATGGGGCTCATTAGTAACGATAACAACAATAGCATTAAAATGCGTGTATGTAAGCGCAAGTGTGTGAATGCCTGAGGAATGGATAGCTGGATGGATGCTTGGATATATTGAGGCGAGTATCCATGCCCAGGTACATGGGGATAATTATTTTTGTCAAGCACAGAAAAAGAGAGAGAGAGACCAGAGCATGCCTGCCACAGAAGGAGATGGAGACCAAGCAGATCCAGAAGATACAACAAAAGAGAGAGAGAGAGAGAGAGAGAGAGAGAGAGAGATGGGGAGAGGAAAAACCAATCACAAACTTTTGATGGCTCGGACGAAACGTTTTTTTGATTATCGGCAACAACAGCATCAAAAGCAGCAGCAGCAAAATGTTGAAAGTTCCCGAACAGCTACAGCTACAGCTGCAGCAACGAGGCATGCCCCAGAGATGTGAACACTGTCTGTAATTGCCGTTGTAGTTGTTGTTAATAGTAGTACATAATAATAGCCAGCAAATAGCAAATAGCAGAGATACAACCAGTACTCGTACACAATCATACAAACATACTAGAGACGGACAACGGGGAGCAACGGACCCCAGAGAGATAGATGGTCCGGCAGAAACATCATTCCGAAAGACAAAAATCTTAATTACAACTTTGACATTTTAGAGATTTCCACAGAAGAGTCCAAGAATCCAAGCGTTTTGGGGAGCGGTTCATGTAATGGGATACTCCGATGTGGAATGACAATGCTGATGATGATTATGATTGCGTATACGACATCTAACATGATTTGTTGGTAAGAAAATCAAGCATGATATATGTCTGTCTGTATGTTAAACTTTGGCATTTAGCCAAGACTCGCAAAAGTAACAGTTTTTGGAGTGAAACTTGAATGCTCCGGAGACACAAATGCACATAGAACGCTGCTCTGAGATCCATAAATCCAAGTCTTGGGATTGGTTAAAAATTCTACAAATTCTAGACGAGCCAAAAACTTTAAAACCCAAACCTAGAACGAATTTTATACGATTTTTATCGTTATTGATTGATTCCGAAACTTCACAATTTCAACACCTAACCTGAAAATGCTCTCTGGACTCAATGATTCTTCGCATTAAACAGCTTTGGCATGACTCTCAAGAGACACCGCTTCCATGAGAATTTTTACACCATATTATTGTTAAATATGATCCTTAGACAACACTCTTAGACAGATCCTTAGACAGAACACGACACAAAGTCCTAACTGAAAGCTGAACTGCTTTGAGAATCACGTTGCGGGACATGCAGCAACTGCCGCCGGCAAAGCAGCGACAGACAGTAAGCACGTTGTGGGGTACGGTACTCTTTTACATACCTTATTGTTTTTGTTTTGTTTTGTTTTGTTTTTCCTGGTTATTTCAGGCAGGTTCCTGTTATATAACTCTTGAGTTTTTCCACAATATTTTGTTCAGCACTTTTCTTCTATATGGTGTTATTATTTTTTTTTTTTGTTACTTTGTTTTGTTATTTAAAAAGGTTTCTTGCAGTTTCCTTGTATTGTATTTTTTCGTTGGTCACAGTTTTATTGCATTTAAAAAAAAATGTTTGCCGGAAAATAGCGTATATTTTCCATGAGTTTGTTGTTGTTGTTGTTATTGTTATTGCATTTTGTTGTAGAATTTTTATTGAAAAAGTTTTGTCGTCAAAAACGACAAAAAAAAACGGCGACGGCAACGGAAACGGCAACAAGAAGTCTCATGCACACACGCGGCACGCACACGAAAACGAGAGGCAGAAACGGTAACAGTGTGTAGGTGACAGCAACAACACGAGCAGCACAGCACAAGCAGTGAGCAAAGATCCACTCTTTCGGGTGTCGTGGGTGACACTGATTGTCGTGCAGGCCGAGACGAGGCTGCGAGGCGGCAGAAAGCAGAAAAAAAAAAACCGAAACGACGACAGCGACGACGACAAATGCGACGCACACACACACGCAACGAGGCAGCGCAGCGCAGGGGGGTGGGTGACACTTTGGCCTCTCGCTCTCTCGCTCTGACTCCTCTCTAGCGGCAGCGACACGCAGCAACGGACAACTGCCACACAAATGTCTACCTGAAGCAGAGGCTGAGTAGTCTGGTGCCAGCGACTTCTGCTGCTTCTGCTGCTGCCACTGCTGGCAGCGCTGCTTCGCCAGTATATGTTTGTGTGTGTGTGTGTTTGCTGTCTGAGAGAGTGTGAGAGCGAGAGAGGGTAAATGCTATTGGAATTGGCCTTCCCTCAAGCGTCGGTGGCGGCGGCGGCGACGGCCTGCCTGTGTCACATTGTCGTCGATGGGTCATTAGACACACACACGCACGCACGCACATACAGCTGCTGTCCCGCTCACACGAGCCCACTCTCGGACCGTAGAGAGCGAGAGCGACTGTCGGCAAAGCAGTGCATCGGCTAAGAGTAGAAAGAGCTGGAAGGCCCACAGAGGCCACACCGGGCTCTCTTAAGCACTGGCAACAATTTTTATTATATGTCATTATGTGGTGGGGAGAGAAGAGAGATCCCCCACCACCCACAATACTCACACACACACTCGCATTGGAGGCTAATTCCTGACCATATACCGTACGTACGTACATACGTCTCCATATATAGGGCGGATCCCCTTGTGCGTGTGTGCTAGAGCAGCGTAACTTCTTTATATTCAGCTATTGCCTATCCACTCGCACAGTGTCGTCTGAGTGGATGGACCGCTAGCGGTGGGGTTGACATGCGACTTATTGTGTGTGTGTGCGTTTACTGACCAAACACTCACACACACACACACACACACACAAAGCCAGAGATTTTGTGGAGGCTCCTCTCTCACGCACTGCTTTGGCTCTCTTGTCATTCGCTCGCTGAAAGGCTAACGGAGCGCTCTCTCGGTTTCGGTTTCAGAGCTAAAACGAGTTGGTTGTTGGTTGTTGTGTAGCTGCCGACTGCGCTGCCTCGTTGTCGGGAATGGAAATGGCCAGCCAGTAATTGTCGCTGCTACGCGAGTGTGTGTGTGTGTGTGTGTGTGTGTTCGTCTTCGTCTCATTATTGACCAGAAAAGCTGCGCTGTCGCTGTCGCTGCCGCTGCCACTGCCTCTGTCGCCGTCACACGTTGCTTTTTTGCTCGTTTCGTTCTTTTAAATTTTTGTCATTTGATGTCTTGT